AGTTTGATTGCACCTGTTTAGTGAAGAATATATGTTACTAAAATTCCCCTAAAAGTTCTCAGTGAAATTCGTGCGGTGGTGGTGGTCACTAGACCATAAACGATGGCGAGCCCAGCCAAGCAGATTGAGTTTCACATCAAGACTGCCTAACACCACATTTTAAAAGCACAGTAACTCCATCCTCCTCAGAGCTGGGGAGGACAATTAGGTGCAGAAAGGTCATCAGCCAACACATCTCTGCTAATCTCAGTTTTATGGTCCTGGCTTTAGTCTGCTTTGGTAAGTCCCAAACATTTATGTTCTTGTTCTTTTCCAAACCGCTGCCGCAGTGTCAGGAGCAAACCCTTTTTGTGAACCATGATACAATCAGGAGGAAACTGAAATATATATTTCTTGCATTGAACAGTAACAGATTTTCTGCAGGTCTCTCTAATTGGATAAAGAAGGAATTGGCACTGTGGACGTATATCCAGCCTTGATGTCTGATGGGCTGGAAAGAGCTGTCTCCCTCTATACTTTGAGCTTCTCCACTGGCTTGATGCCCCAAAAGCCCTTCTCTGGGTGGGCTGCACATCACAGATGGGAGTTGCAGCAGGTCCATGCCAGCAGGCCACATTAGGGTCCCCCTGGAGCTGCAGGAACAGGCGTTGCAGCAAGTGCTCCCGTAGACCCTGGTGGTGTCCTGGGTGCCAGGCATGGCACTGGTGCCCTGTGGTGTTGGCACGACCTGTGGGCCATGGAGAGCAGCCAGGCATTTCTCCCCAGCCTGGGCACAAACCCACAAACGCTCCTGTCTTTTATTTGCCCGCTGTGTTAGCAGAGCACACTGTTCTTTCCATGTATAGTGACAGTATATAAATGCTGCCAAAATGTTTTTATTTTCAAACAGTAGTGTGGGGCAGGATGGGGTGGCCATTACTATCAGCAGAAGTGAGGCCCTGAGAGTTTTGCTTGAGGTCAGCATGGAGTTCAGGTTAATAAGCAAAAGTTCTGTATTTTCAGGATCTGCTTGAGTTATCCTCTTTATATTCCCTTGTTTCTCAACAGGGCAGTTTGGTATGGTTTAGTGTTGTGTTTGTGTGCAGGGAGGGAAACAGTGGGAAGATCCTGGCCCTGGGATGGCTCAGGTCACCTGCAGAACCCAGATTATGAGGACTTTGAAGGGTTTTCAAGGTCATTATGTTTTAAACTGTGTGTCTGAAACTGGCTCTGTGTTGTAGAGGTTAAATGTGGAAGTGATGCTGGTGCTGGCTGGTATCTCCCTCTCCAGTGAATTTTTGAAAGCTTCTGCCTTTTGTCTTCCTTTGCATCCTCCATCTGGAAGGATGTCCTGTGTGTTTCACTTTGCAGGTCATCCTGCTGCTACAATAGGATGTTGTGGTTTTTTGCAAATAGCTGATGCTTACATTTTAATATGTTGGTTTTTTTTTTTTTAAACAGCCTTCAATGTGTGGTTGAAATGTTAAAATAATTGGTATGCTGATAAAAGGCTACTAAAAGCTCATAATATTCAAATAATGAGATTTGATTGCTGTATTCAAATAAGATCTAAATTCCTGCTCTCTCACAGTTTTATATGTCAATATATATCAATAATTCACACCTTGTCATGGCTCTCAATGTCATTATTTCATACAAAATGAAAAAAAAACCAAACCTGTTTGTGTCTGTCTAAAAGATTTTGCTCTGGAGTTTTGCCTCGGCAGAAGCAAAATGTAAAATAATGAAGCCATGGAGGGGTGGGTCAAATTGCCGTACATATTAAAAGAGGGGCTTTTGATCAGCTTCTTTGAGGGTCTGGTATAACTCCATTTATCTGCAGATCTCAGGGGACGCCCCCAGCCCCCAGATAATGGGGGACTTAGTTAATCAGGGCAGCCAGCTGTCCAGCTTTCCACCGGGGTAGGGTTCAAGCTCACAGCCCATCCTCTGCACCCAGGCCTGCTGCAGCAGTGGATTTGTGTGTTCCCTGCAGCGCTCCAGCCCTGGGGCTGCTCTAGGAAAGCCAGCCAGGCACTTGGGGCTCCCTCCCAGCTCTGCTCAGAGCTGGGGGGCTGCTGATCCATGGTTGCATTTGAAAAGCAGTAGTTTGTGTGGCACTTGATCTAAATTCTGCTTGGTGTTGGGGGCACCTTGGTGACAGAGCTTGCAGTAGAGCTGTGACACAAAGGTCAGGTTAAAGAGGTTCAGAGTGAGGTTCTGATGTTTGTAACTCGGTGGTATTTTGTGGTTGGCTCTTAGGCTGAAGGCACAGCACATTTCTGTGGGGCAGCCCTGACAGAAGTATTGCTCCAGAGATTTTCAGGATAGACTCATTCCTACAGGGCAATAAATAGGAAATCTTGTGATGCTTTTTTTACAGGACGGAGGTGTTTTCCAGAGGGTTTTTTTACAGCTTGTTCACGATGCCTCCACATTCAAATTCCTAAACTTCAGTAAAATTTCAGTTGACTCTTTCTTTTTTTAATGAATCCCAACTGTTCTCCCAAATGTGCGTGAGACAGATATAGCAGGGAGTTTAATTTCACTTTGCTGCAGTCGCTTACCTCCCTTTTGATTAAGCAGTGAGCACAAACAAGCACGGGCACCCCGCTCGCTGCCCGTATGGCAGGAGCTGCCGTGCTCCCGCTGCTCCAGGGAGCCCAGGAGGGCTCGGGGAGCGCCAAGCCAAGGTGCCTGGTGGGTGGAGCTGGGGTGTGTGCAGGAGAGGCCTCGCTGCACTGGGGGTGTCTGCACCCACTGCTTCTGGCTTTTCAGCCTGCAGGAGAGGCGCTAAGCTGGGGTCTTCCTTGCGTGCCTCCAAAGCGCCGGTGGATCTGCGGGGCTCTCCCCATCTTGGAGTGCTCCTCCTCAGCTGCCTCTCCCGTAGCTGCTCAGCTGTTTGTCCGGGCGGTTTTTCCCAGTCTTTTGTGTGGTGAGCAGCATCCTCCAGCTCATCAATAGCATTTTACCAGGTGCAGAGCAAACCTGGGCAGTGTTTCCGTGCAGCATTTATCCGAAGCGGGCAGCCCCGTGTGAGCTGTGCCGAGCCGTTCAGGACCCAGCAGGGCATTATCAGGCAGAGCCTTTTCCCGGCTGGGGCCGCGCGATGAATCGAGCGCGCTGCCGGCCGGCCCGCAGGCTCAGGTGGCCGCTGTCCCCCGGTGTCGCCGAGCCCTTTCAGCGATTTGTCACGGCCGGCTCCGCTCCCGTTGCGGCAGCACGTGCCAGCTCCATGTCACAGGGGCTGCTGCCAGACGGGCGCGCAGCCCCCGACACCCCCGGCCAGCGCCCGCCCGGCCGGCAGCAACGCGCTCCGCACGGCCCTGGCAACAGCCCAGCGCCGAGGAATCAGCATCTCCATAATGAGGAGTGAATGGCATCCATCAGTCCCTTTAGAATTGGGCCCAGGCGTGTGCCTCCTCTCCGAGGAAGTTTGGCAGCCTATTCATTAACAAGAGTCATCAGGAGTTCAGCCCATAAAGGGGAGGCAGCCCCGCACGCTGCGGGCTGGCGCTGTCAGGAATGCGTTCTCTCCCCGGCTTCGGGCAAGGCAGGAAAACTGAGCAAATAACGCTGTCAGCAGGTGCAAACGCTGAAATGCTGGCTATTGATTTTCTTTATTTAGGCTTCCACGGGAAGTTTATAAGAAGATTTATCACATATCAATCGTCCTCTGCGAGCGTTAAATGCAAAATTCTTCCTTTCTTTCTCTTCCCTTTGTTGCCACCACGCCTGCAGGAACTCGCCGTGCAATGAGAAAGTGCTTTGCTTATTCCCTTCGAGGTCAACACTAGACCACTGTCTCCTGGCTTTAAGCACTGCTTTTCTCTGATTTTTTTTTTTAATAGTGTTTCAGAGTGGTTTTGTTAATGTACTGCAAGTCACAAATGGCACTTCAATATTAATTAGTAATGCTTTTCAATTCTAAATACCCTCACCTGCATTCTGTTGTCACTGGTGTTATTCTCCTGCTCCTAATTTCTAAATTCAGCTTGGCCTTTGCTCCCACCGAACAGCCTTGCGGAGCTCGAGTGCATTTCCCCATAACAGAAACACAATGAGGCGCTGAAAACTTTTGTTTTCACTGAGGAAACGGAGAATGAGATGTCATCCTGGCTCCTGCGAGCCCTAATTCATAAAGTCATACATGAGGCTCTCCAGCCCATTGTAGGTTTGTCCCAGGCGTTATCCTGTTATTGGAAGTGTATGATTCACCTTCTGAGCAGACAGAAGCTGCACACAAAAGGGGAAGATTTGCTTTCTCCGCTGTGAAAGGCTGCCGCAAGCAGGGGTCCTATTAAGACAGCTGGAAAGTTGCTTCAGCTTGTTACGCTTGTAAGTTTTATTGGTGACTGGTTTTTGATTACACATTTGAATGCTGTGTGTTCCAGGTTGCCGAGTTTTAATTAAAAGGCAATAGTCTCGATGTTAGCTCGCTTTGTTGTCTGCATTATTCAGGCCATAATGCATGCAAGTTGTGGGCTGGGTTTGTCCACTGTGCATCATTTATTTGGGATACATAAGGTTGCACCTTCTAGCACCTGCCCTAAATACAACCGTCACACTTTTGGAATTGGTTTATTGTGCTTAATTTCTTCCAAGAAGTCCAGTGATCAAATGAATGTGGGGGGAGGGGGGGTGTATTCCTCTGTCCTGTACCTTTTTTTCTCCAATCTAGTAACTTTTCTGGTCATTGGAACAGGAATATTGAGTGCCAGGAGCTTCCCATAGTGCCACAGCCTGTCTGTGATGGTGGGTTTTGATCTGGGGCTTTGCTCCTGTACTTGGCAGCTCCCAGGTCACAGCTTCTTAGTCAGGAAGAGGTGTTATCCTGAATTTCCAGCCCTGAACGTATCCCCTCCTTGTTGCTCCCATCCAGAACCGTTGGGCAGTTCTAGTCTGGTTCCCTGCCCGTTCCAGCCCGGTCAGTGTGGACGTGGGGCTGGGGGCTGGTGCTCGGGGATGCCGTGGGACAGCCTTGAGCTCTGCACACACCTTTCCTTAACGGGGCGTCGCAGCTACGAGGAGAGAGCTTTGTACCTCGAAGCCATCATCCAGAACCATAAAGAAGTGATGACGTTTGAGGATTTCGCCGCTCAGGTCTTCTCTCCCTCTCCCAGCTACTCCCTCGGCGGAACTGGTGAGTTCTGTGCATTAGTCTTCTCTGTAGCCCAAAGAAGCACTTGAGCAGCAGATGTACACCTGTTTTTTGTAGATAAATGCTTGCAAATTTAAGGCGACTATTCTTCCTCTGAATCAACTAATGAATATCAAAAGGAATTATGACATTCATTTTAATTTGTTTTGCATCAGAGCTATTCACACTGCTCCTTTCTTCAGCTATCCTGTTAACCTCCAACTCCAGCAAGGTTAATGAACTTTCTCGCAGTGATGGGCTCGGGCTCATTCAGGGCTCCGGGTTCTTGCTGAGCTGGGAATATGTTGTTCAAAAGTGAGGCCTGAATCGGGGCTCACTTATCAGAAATAGTTCCTCACAGGGGAAGCTGCTGTTAATGCTAAATGGGGATTATGCTGCTGAGCTACCAGGGTCAGGGATTAATGCACAAGAAGCGCAGGATCGGGGTGCTGTTAGGGAATCGCAGCGGCGTGCGGGATGCAGGCATGGAGCGCGCTGCAGGCTGCCCTGCAGCACCTGGCCTGGAGCCTCTGCAGGGTTTGCTGTGGGGGTGTGGGGGTGTGAGGGGGGTGTGTGGTGTCTGTGTGTGTGTGTGTGTGTGCATGCACATCGGTGCTCATCAGTCATCTGCCTGCTGAGAGGTGACAGCAGTGTGCTGAACTCGGGGAATTTACTCCTCATGTGCCTTGTGGAGGGTTAGGTTAGTGTGCAGTCACAATCGCTGTCCAGCTGGTTTGATTAAGTTTAAGTGAACCTCTCCTGAAAGGGAGCTTTGGCTCTGAAATGCCACATTTCTAGTGCCTTCAAAATGTGTTTTTTTCCAGCATCCAGAATGTATCTGGTCACCATGTGCTGGACTCTCTAACAAAGATTCCTTAATCTGTCGTTGACACTCCTAGGGTGACACTGGCACTTTCTCATCATTCCCTGCTTCTCTTTTGGATTGCTGAATAGATTACTTCCAACCTGTATAAACGTTGCAGGACATCTGCTCTATTTCTCTTTAGCCTGACTTGTTAGCAGATATCTTCCATCTAAACTGAAACACTGAAGGAAGAAATTAAATTTGCTCACATAAATCACTTAGGAATAAAACCAGCCGTGCAGCATTGTCTGGCGTTGCTGGCTCCAATCCTGGCGTGCTTGGAGCTTTGTGAGGAGATAAGAGGCCTGTGCTGGCCGGGCAGTGGTGGCCAGGAGCAGCAGGCAGAAGGCTTTGGAGATAAGCACTGGCAGGAGGGGGGAGGAAGCCGGGGCCATTTACATAATCGCACCTCTTCGTCCTGGAGAGGCGTCAGGGAACATGGGATGGATCTATTGATCTCTGCTGAACTGGAATACTAAACAACGCTAGGAAAGCTTATAACTTAAAGCTTTGATTAATGTTTCCTACATTAAAAAGTAGAACAGCTGTGCATTAAATTCTTTTATACACTCTGCCAAAAGTCTGAGACAAAAAAATCACCCGTTTCAATAGGAGCGCGGGCGCGTGCCCAGGGCTGGTTGTTAGCACTTGAATCATTTATCTGTGGACGTATCAGCGAATAGAAATGTAGATATAGTGATCTGGTTTTGCTCTGTGCATAGCTGTGATTCATTTTCATGTTGTTCTTAGCACATGGTGTTGTGTCACATGTGGTTTGACAGGGCAGACCTCTCCGCAGCCCCACTTTCTGAGGGATAAGTTGTGTATGCCAAAAAAAAAATAGTAGCTGTACTCCAGTGGCTGAGGATTTCAGAACACTGTTAAATCAGGAGTACCCGGGTATGATTTCATTATTTTAATTGCTTTTAAGTGCAAAGCCTCCCCCAGTCAGGTCCCAATTTTCAGACTTCTGAACCTTGGAATTAATTTCCCGCTCATGAACTGGAGACTGGCCATGACTTCTGGTGTCAGAATCTCCGCTTCAGAGAGTCTCCTCACATTACCTGCTGATTCTCCTGCATATTTAGTCAGTGATGAGCAGGGGCAGTGTCAGCTGTGGCCATGGGGATGTGTTTTCCATCAGATGCCCCTCAGCAGTCAGCAGGGAGGCTGGATGCAGTCCCGGCAGCTCCGCTGTTCCCCAGCCAGGCCTGCTCCAGGCATAGATCCACCTGTCCTGCACCTGCAGGAATCACCTGTCTGCCACTTTGGAATACAGGAGACATTTTTCTATTCTGAAACAGGAAAAAGGAGTCAGGGAGCAGTTAATCAAAAGAAGCACTTTTCTCTGAAGGAGTGGTCAGGCACTGGCACTCAGGCTGCCCAGGGAGGCACTGGGTTCCCCGTATTTGGAAGTGTTCAGGAGGTGTCAGGAGATGATCTCAGGGTGATGATGGTGGTACTGGGTTGGCCACTGGACTTGTTGATCTCTTCCAGCCTTGATGATTCTGTGGGATGCATGGAGCTGGCACAGGTGGCAGTACAAGCCAGCTGGTACTGCTGATTCTGCTGAGCATAAACTGTTCAGGTAAATTTAAGATTAATTCTCATCTGACCTGATTCTTGTAATGCCCTTCAGGTGTGATGCTGTCAGTGCTGCAAATGCATGTGTGCAGCAGAGAAGGGTCAGGGAGTAAGGGTGCTGCTTATCACAGTGCAGTGTTCTCAGGAGTTACCCCCGCGTAGGGAGAAGTCAAACACAGCTCTCAGTGACATACTGGGGTATTGCTGACTGTGAGATACTCTTGGAAGTGGATGTTTTTGTGTTTTCTGATGCTCCCCCTGGGGATGCATCCCCAGACTCACATGGGATGTGGTTTTCCTGCCCTGGCTTAGTCTCCCTGTCACCAGTCTTGCAGGTGCTGCATTTTCTGCATGGAAATTGTCCAGTTGATGTCTTTTGCTGTTTTGAGGAGCAGAGCCTTAAACTCCCTGTATGGATTACAGATAGCCCTGATACCTTCAGCGTTGAAAGTGCAGCTTCATAGGCAGAATGGCCATCCCCAAACTCATGCAGGGGATGTGCAGATTAGGAACAAAAGCTGGGAATACGGCCCTTTGTTGTTAAACTGGTGCATTACATGCTGTATTTTAATTAGGCAGGGTTTGAGAGGCAGCCCAGGAAATCCTCCATAATCCAACACTATTGAATTATTCTCATTCTTTCCCTCTGCAGATTTCTCTCCTTTTAGTGGACAGGCTTTAAGCTGCTGCTCTTGCTCTCTCAGCCAAAACCAGAAATAATTATCGAACAAAATACGTGTGTTCTGTAAAAAAATTGGTGAAGCTGAAGTGGGCAGAGCAGCACCTCGACTTCATCTGCCTCTGTGGCTCCTTGGGGCTTTGGTCTGTTTTAGTGTAAGATCAGCAGCCAGAAGCACGGTGTTAACCTTTGGAAGTATATTCCAGGAGAACTCTGCAGTCACAGCTTTCCCCCACAAGGATCCTGTCCGAGGGGGTTGTGCTGGCCAGGGCAGGTTCCTGCGTCCCAGGGACCCCCCTAGCGGAGCGCTGCCGGCGCCTCAGGGGTTAATGGGAACGGGCACACTTGACTGCTGAGAGGACTGATCTAATCACTGCCATATCCAAGTGCATCTGTTCACCATGAGGTCATTCTTGTGCATGCTAATGACTTGGAAAATAAAGCACAATGCTCAGCGTTATCAGGGAGGATATAGTGTAAATCTTGGCTTTTTTAGTTGCTAATGGGTAGTGTGGAATGGGCAGAGAAAGCATCTTGGATTCTCCAGCTTAATGTTTTTAAAGAATCCTTTTCAGTAGATCATCAGAAGAACTGTGCTGGAAAACTTGGACATGTGGTATCTGTTGATAAATGGATTCTTAAATGAATATTATGGCATTGCCCAAGCGCAACACTTGAGTCGAGGAACTATTGAGGTTTTCAGCATTCTCTGGTTTTAAAGCCCTGGGAGCTGTGCCTGCTGATTTACATAAAACCGAGATTTTGCAGCCTTTTTGTTGCAAAGGTGACACATGCTTTCCTTTTGTCTCTGGACTTTTACATGCATAAAGTTCTTGTAGAAAATATTTGAATGCACAGCAAACAAGATCTGGCTTATTTTAAACCACTTTTTGTTCAGTGCTGAGCTTTATCTTTCCCACTTTAAAGCAAAAGGATTACTTGAATTGGACATGCAGATTTAAAATAGATTTTTGAGAGAAACAAAACCAAACTCAGAGTAATTCTTGTTTCAAACAGGACTGATGCTTTTTGTAACAGTAATTGAGCTAAGGATTCATTTTGCTTTAGCTTGGTTTTTCTGGGGTTTTTATACTACTTTAGGGTTTTTGTTATTTTGTCTTTTTCCTTGAAGCTCTGTAGGGTGTTTTGTCAGATCTGTGTCCGTGTTCTGTGTGTGTGTATATATATATATATATATATATATATATATGTATGTATGTATGTATGTAGTATTTTTGCCTGTTTTCCTGGGAATTTTAAAAGCAGACACATCTGAAACTGAGTAGCTGTGTCCTGGTATCAGAGCACGTGCAGTGTGTGCCAGGGGTTGGGTTTAATCCGTGTGTCAGCATTGCCTGAAACTGAACAATTTGTTTCTAATATATGGGATTTAGGAAATTCCTGACTGTCCTGGTTACTGGCAGAACAGGGAATTGCTGCTAGCATGGAGCATGGGTGAGGTCTGCTGGGTGTGGTGCTCAGCAGGTGGGGTGGGACACTGTGCAGCTGCCATGGTGGTGCAGGTTGTCCAGGCAGTGAACAAAGAGGAAAAGCTGAGGGAAGTGGAGCAGAGGAGCCAGGACAGTTATCACAAGAGGCAGGACTCAAGGGCTTTCTGTTCTTCCTCCTTTCCTGTGAGGACTATTCAGGATGAGGCACGGGAACCTGTCTGGCTTCCCCATCTGTTTAATCCAGGTAGTTCCTCATCCTCAGCAGAGTGGAGCCTGCCACAGCTGGGCTGCCCTTGGGAAGTTCCTGCAGTGCACCAGCAGATGTGGGAGCTGCTCCTTGCCTTTGTGCTCTTGCTTATCAGTGCTCTGCCCATCATTTTCCTGCCCTTTTGGCAAGGCTGCTGCCTTAGTGTCCCCATGAGGGTCAGGAATGGTCTGGCATTAAGCAGGGCAGGGTCACAGGTACCACAAAGTGCTGGGGGCAGCAGCTCTGTCCCCCTCCAGCTCCCAGGCTGATTGATGCAGTGTATGCCCGGGAGCCCAGATCCCTGCAGAGCCCTAAGGAAGTGGCTGCCTGCCCAGTGTGCTGGGGCTGTCCCTTGTGCCCCCACTGAGGGTGGACAGTCCAAACCTGTCCCTCGAGGCTGGGCAGGTGCTGGGACTGCTGCCCCCTCAAGCCTGATGTTCCCCTCGGGATCTCCAACAGTGCAGGGGGGTGTGAGAGCCACATCAGGGTTCTCAGCCTGGCCCCCTGCCTTTTCCGTGTAATTAATTGGCTCAGAGGGTGCTCCCCCAGCTTCGCTCTCCAGGAGAGGAGGTGCTGAGGGAGGGTTTATCCTAGCAATCAGTGCTGGGATGGGAAGAAATATGAGCTTGATGGGCCGTCTCTTCTGCCCAGTGACAGCTCCAGCTGCTCGAGCTGTCAGCTCGAAGAAGGCTCCAGGCAATGTGGTCCATTTGCATTTTCCCTCTGCACTGAGGCTCTGGCAGAGACCTGCAGCAGAGGCAGGGCAGAAACGGGGCAGAGCTGTCCTGCAGCCTTGTGCTGAGGGCTTGGGCTGCCCACATAACACCCACATTACCCTCAGCACTTGGGGTCCCCCTGCCTGAGGCTGAGCCTTGCAAAACTAATCAGCAGCTGCTCCAACTTGAGAGTAATTAAACTTCAATGTGTACATTTCAGGCTTATTTCCGAGGTGCTCAAACCATGGAGGCCCACAGTGGTGCCAGGCACTCCCACCTGAGCTGGGAGCTGTGGGTGCTGTTTTAAGGTCCATTTTGCCCCAATTATTAACCTGTAGTGTCAGATTCTCTTTACTGTGTCACTTACAGCTTTCTAGGGCACTGGAGGAAGTGTGTGGCTTTGATTAACCCGGCTTCAGTTACCCATGGGTTTTTCTACACAGGCTCAGGATGCTGCTTACAGTGTACTTGGAGCCTGTCTTTGGGAGTTGGAAGCAGGAACACTGTGCAGATTTACGACAACAATTCTCTCTGGAATTTTATTACCTTTGTATTTACTAGGAAAGAAAACAAAGATTTCCACAGACCTGTCCTGGCTGAAAGGTTAATAGGGGGCTGGAACAGTTCACAGCCCATGTGAAAACTTCATAGTTCTTCCCAAGTACCAAGTTCTTCTCAAGTTCTTCTCAAGTACCAATCAAGTACAAAATCTTCATCATCCTTACAAGTCATGGTCTTACCCACCCTTGCTTTCAGGGGTGTTCAGCTGCTTCATGAGCAGCAGATAAAATGCCATTCCTAGAGCTCATGCCCTGGGGAAGGAACCAGGTTTATTCTATGGACTGCATTTAAGGTGCAATATACCATGTCTCTCTGGCTTCCTGCAATGTAACCTTGCATTGAAAGTGCCATCATCTATATTTTAATTCAGTTTTTAATCCCTCCTGCAAGAAATGTATTTTAAAAGCTTAATGCTCTCTAAGCAGCCTCAGCTGTGAGAGGCCCTCCACTGTGTGTGTGTGTGTGTGTGTGTGTGTGTGTGTGTGTGTGTGTGTGTGTGTGTGTGTGTCTTGTCTGAGTGCAGGTGTGTGACTGCTCATGGACAGGTTTTATGCATTCAAGGACTTCCTCTTCTGGCACAGGATCACTCTGCTCCTCACTTCTACAGCCACTTTTAACCTGGCTATAGCATCACAGACATTTAGGTCTCCATGAAGCCTCAAATTTTAGCCAGTTTCAAATGGTGTGACCAGCTACAGTGCTGGACGTGGAGCTGAGGCATGAAGGAGCTGCACACCACCATCCCACAGCAGCAGCTTTGACAGAAGATGAAGCACAATGAATATTCATTCCAATCTTTGCCAACATTCCCTCCCTTGGCTGTTTAAGTCCTCAGACCCCAGGAGAAAGTGGCATGGGTGTGTTTTTCTGCAGGTCCCTGAGGGTAGCTCCCCTTCCTGCCTTTAGCAGGTGTGCTGTGTCAAGTTGATGCAAACACAGCAGTCACAGGGTGCTGGTCCTTCACTGACATGGTTTTGTTCCCCCCTTTGGTCCTGCACTGACATGGTTTTGTTCCCCCATTTTAGTCCTTCACTGATATGGTTTTGTTCCCCCATTTTGGTCCTTCACTGACATGGTTTTGTTCCCCCCTTTGGTCCTGCACTGACATGGTTTTGTTCCCCCATTTTGGTCCTGCACTGATATGGTTTTGTTCCCCCCTTTGGTCCTGCACTGACATGGTTTTGTTCTCTCCCTTTAGATTAGAGTGTTAATGCTCTCGGTACAGTAACAGCCACAGGTAAGAGCTTCCCGCAGGCCCCTCTGCTGCTGCTGCAGTTCATCAGTAACAGCTCTCCTTGCCCTCCTCCTCCCTTGCTGCCTCTGCTCCATGCTCAGCTCTATCTCCTGTGCTCCATGCTCAGCTCACACCTCCTCTGCTCTGCCTCCCATGCTCTGTGTTCACCTCGTACCTCCCAAACTCTGCATGCAGTTCTGCCTCCTCTGCTCTGCACTCGCCTCCTGCGCTCCACACGTGGTTCTGCCTCTAGGGTGCAGTTCTGCCTCCTACAAACAACACAATAATGCCTCCTGTACATTAATGCCCACAATATGTGTACAGTAATGCCTCCCACGATCTATGAACAGTACAGACTCTGTACGTGCCAGGTAATGCGTCCCGTGATCCACACGTGCTAATACATCCCGCGATACGCGCCTGGTAATTATTTTTTACTTCTAAGCTGCTTCAGCTTGTCCATTTGGAGAAAACTATTATTTTGACCATCTGCCATTCTGCCTCACTGCAGGAATGTCAAGCACAACACCTCCCTCGAAGCCCTTCCCTCCCCCACGCTTTTCTCCCTAGCCAATAGCACCACAGGTTTTGTTTTAATCCAAAGTTGACAGCTCTCCATTTTTCACAGAAAATGCCTTTACAGGCTAAGTCACACTTTCCACCTTTTTAAAATGTGCTATTTCCCCTCAGTCACTTTTCTCAAAGAACCAATCTGGTAAGTAAGGGCTGTCTTTGAGATGCAAACGCAGGGCTGCAGGCAGGCTGAGGGGGTTCACACTTCGGGCTGTGCTGCTGCTGTTCCACTCCTGCTTTCAGTCACTCAAACACCCAGAGCTGCTCAAGCAGAAGCACAGGTTACACCTCACCTTGGAAGTGCAGCCCAGAGCCAGGCTGAGTCTTTGTCCTCTGACAGCAGCTGAGGGCTCATCCTGCTGCCACACTGACCTGTGGCCATGTACCCACCTGTCCTGCAAGCACAGTGCCCTGCTCACCTCTACCTGAGGACCAGCTCTGCCATGGGCACCTTCACCTAAGGCCCTGCTGCATTTTGGAGTGTTTTGTGCACGTTTGAGATTTACCTGGGCTAGGAAGGTGAAGGGAGCAATGAAGAGCTGTGGTCTGGCCGGGCACAGCTGAGAATGGAGTCAGTTGTTGCACTGGAAGTAGGTCTATGTTTCAAAACACAAGCATCCTCTGAAGGTTCAGAGGGAGTGCCAATGGTGCCAGCCTTCAGAGAGGTTCAGAACATTCCTGTGTGCTCCCTGCCTGGCTCCAAGGCTGTTCCTCCCTCCTACCTGTAATAAAAAACTTGGGTTTACACTTCGGGAGAGAATTGCAACGTGGTTTAAAAAATACTGTTTCCTTAGGGAGCTGATGAAACCTGTTCCCCCTGGGAAATGCCTTGGGACAGGCCAAGCCCTCAGGAGCAGGGCAGGGTGTGTCCCTCACAGAAGCTGCACCTGGGTTTGTTCATTAGAGTCTCATTTAATGACCATGTGCTCACCTGTTCCCCCTCAGCCAGCCTGGGCAGGCCTGGCCTCCAGGGAATAACCAACAGGTGACTCCACTCAACAACAAAGCATAACCTCCCCATACCCACAGCCCCCCAAGACCCTTCCCCAGTGGTGACCATAAGCACCAGTAACAGGGGGACCTGTTATGTAGTGGAAGAAATTGTGATTCTTTAGGATTTTTCCAGAGGTTAAGGCACCTTCCTTAGGTGAATTCTGAATGGAGAATTCTGTGCCAGCCCTCACGCTGGGAATGCTCGTTTCCAGCTCTCTGTAACAGGCCAAACACACAAGAACAGTTTAATGACACACAGCAAAAAACAGTTTTGTATCACCCACACAGAACTTTTTTTATGTTGGAGCTTCAAGTGGGCAGGATAGGACCTTCCCACCTCCCTCCCATGGGGCTGTTAGGGCTCTAAGAGCCATCGGGGGCTGCAGGGGCCAAGCAGACCAAAAGGGGGTGATGCTGGGGGGCTCAGTGCTCACCTGGACACCCATGGCCTCTCAGGGCTTCTCACTTCTGGGAGCTGGCAAAAAGCAATCCCTGGTTTCTCTGGAAATGCAGCATGGCAGTTCTTCAGCTGCCTACAGCAAATTCCTCCTCTGGAGGTCAAGTTCACCTGAGTGACCCCAGGAGAGGCTGGGAAGAGGCCAGGGGAGGGGCTGTGCTGTGCCATGTGGTTATTCTGAGGACTCAGCTGTTTTTCCTGACTGGGTTTTCCTTGCCTGCTCTGTTTTCCAGGCTGCCTCACCACAAGTGCAAGCGCTGACCTCGCTGACACTGCTGGCGTCGAGCTGGTGGAGCTGCCCTTGCTGCCTCCAGGAGCAGGGTCTCTGGGAAGCTCTGCCAGCACCCTCAGCAAGGTGTCCACCTGAGGTGTCCACCTGAGACCCTGGACAACAAAGCTGTGGCTGGGGCAGCCCACAGCACCTGAGCACAGATCAGAATGGGCAGTCTGGGTGAATATGTCTTGAAGGGGCAGGGTGAGGGGTTTGCTCTGTGAAACGGCCCTTCCCCAGTCTGGTCAGACATGGCTGGGGATTGGATGTCACCTGTGTCCCCATCACCACTGCACTGGCACCAGGTGAGCAAGGGTCCCGAGCCCCTGGGTGCAGGTGCTGCAGCCAGAGGTGAACCAGCACTGAAACTAGTTATTTAATGTACCCTTAGAGCATTGCTTTTGTCATTCCAGGCAGCACTGACCTGTGCATTAGGGAATTTCTTCTAAAGAGAGGTTTTCCTGTGACTGGCCAGGTAGCAGAGGTTCCCTGCTGGAGCACAGGTGGATGAGGGAGGAGCTCTCCAGTTGGTGCTGTCCCACTGTGGGAGTGCTGTGGCCTTTCTGTGCTGTGTGCAATGGCTCTGCACTGGAACTGCTCCCTAGAGAAACAAAAATAAGCAAATCCCTTTTAGAAGAACAAAAGCCACACTCCTGCCATGACCCCTTCCCAGCACAGTGTGAACAACTGGGTAACCTCCTCACCTTGTCTCCAGCCAGAGTTCAACACAGCTGAAGGCTTCTGAGGACTTGGGGTGTCCTCCTGGCACCTGCTGTAGTGAGCAGAGCTTCTGTTGGCAGTAGCTGAGCTGTTTTGGTTTACACGTGTCATAGGCTGATGGGGTGAAAATTGTTATCGTTCAATCCCAGGTATTTTAAAGCAACAGAAATCTGAGATCCAGCAGCCACAGAGCCCTGTCCTGATGCTGCTTGGTTGCTCCTGGGCACACACACACACACGCACACCTCCCAACAGAATGGGAGCTGCTTTAAGCAAAGGGATTGCATTTTTTGGGAAATGTGCCGTTGGGCCCCCATCTGTTTTTGCACTTACACTTGGTGTTACAGCCATCTGTCTGTCTGACCATCTGAGTGCCAGCACCTGGCCAGAGGCCACCCTGTGCCTGTGGGGCACATTCCAGCCATGGCCAGTGATGCCAGTGTGCTCTGTGCCTGAGGGGCAGCAACTCAGCCTTGGTGACAGGAACTCACCTGGCGCAGCAGCTGGAAGGAGCCTCTGTCACTGAGGGCTTGAACAACTGGTTTGATTTTCTGCCTCAACCCACAGTTGGGTTTTGCTTTCTGTTGATTTTCTGTCAGTGAAGGAACCTAGAAAATAAAACATGTATTTTAATTTATTTTACATTCAGGGCCGGACAGGCAAGGCTGTCTGGCACTTAGTTATCCAATAGCTGGTCTGAAACAATTTCAAAGGCATCCTTCTGAGTAAGGAGCCCTTTCTCCTTAGAGCAATATGTACCTCTACTTCAGGGAAGAATTAAGACATCAATGAAAAATCATGTTTTCCTGATGTCAAAAAACTATTAATTTGTATAAACTCCGCTGTGGTTTTGCACCCTGAACTGGATGACAAAGCCACTCTGTTACCCCTCACAAAATGAACAAATCTTTGCTCACAATAAAATTTCTCCCCAGAGCAATAAAAGGCAGTACCTGTGTGGTGTGTGTGGCGGCGGGTGGCAAGTGCTGGGGCTGGAACTCGACGACACCGGTGGTGGTGCTGCTGCGGTGCCATGGGTGTGCAGGGCTGGCTCCCAGGGACAGGGACAGTCCCTGCTGGACGTGGGTTCTGTCCCTCTCTGCAGGAACAGCTGCCAGGTGTGGAGCAGGCAGTGGTGCTCCCAGACCGGAGGGCTCTTGAGGAGTTCACGCTGTGACTGGCACAGGGGCACCCACGCTCGTGCCCTGCAGACCCCACATGGCAGCAGTGCCCTGCTGCCAGCCCAGCCCTGCCCATGGTGCCAAGCACAGAAACAGACTTTTGGGGTCCCCAGAAGCCGCTGTCCATAACCTGCTTCCCTGCAATATCTCATGGCCCAACTAAAACCAGTTTTTAGTGGTGATTTTGTACTCTACAGTGACATTCCTTAAGCAAATGCAGGGGGCTGCACTCAGCCATAACAATGTCTGAAAAGACAAAGGAAATCTCCCTCTGCTGAAGAGCCACAGCAAAGTCCACTCCAAAATTGCTTTCAGGTGCTCTAAGCAGAAATGGAGAGTGAATCCAGCTGGCCCCAGATAAAGCTCCCTTTGCAGAAGTAACTGCACACACTAACGAGCTGTTGGGAACCCAGCTCCCACCCACCTGTCCCGAGGAGGATCCCAGGCCCAGCACCACCACCCTCGAGGGAGTGGAGAGCAGGCTGGGCTGGCTGCTCTGTGCACTCAGGGCTGTGCTGGCAGCACTCTGAGCCAGCCGTGCCCCTCACCAGGGCTGGCACCCTGGCAGCAGCCAGACCAGGGCAGGCTCTGGCTGGAGGGCATGTGGCTCTGCACAGCCTGGCACTGGCACCCAGGGGGCTGGGGGCACTGGGGACACAGGCAGGACACAGCCACAGCCTGGCACTAGCACCCAGGGGCCTGGGGGCACTGGGGACACAGGCAGGACACAGCCACAGCCAAGGGCTACAGTGGCACTGGCAGAGCCAGCCCAGCATGGGCCAGGAACATGGGCCCAAGGCACCCCCAGCTCCGCACCAATGGCAGCAGCTGCAAAAATGGCATTAAAATAATCTACTAAATTAAATAATGTGTGGACTAGATTATACTTACCATGGAGTCCCAGAATGGATTGTGTTGGAAAGGAACTTCAGTTCATCTCATTCCACCTTACCATGGGCAGGGACACTTCCCACTATCCCAGGCTGCTCCAAGCCCTGTCCAAGCTGCCTTGGAACACTTCCAGGCATGGGGCAGCCACAGCTTCTCTGGGCAACCTGTGTCAGGGCCACCCCAACCTCACAGCCAAGAATTTCCTCCCAATATCCCCTCTAGTTATACCTTCCTCCAGCTTTAGAAGGATGCCTAACATTTTTTACAAACATTTGTATAGGTATTATCTTATTCCTACACCTATTAAGAAGCTCTCTTTAACTATAGAAAATATATTAGGGATCTCATCCTATGTTCTACATATTGTATGCTACAGTATTTCAAAATATAAATCTAATATTTGATGTTATGCATGTCTTTATGCTTCTATTAGCTTGGGTATATGTTATAAATACACACAGATACAATATATATTATTACATTAAGGAAAATATATGCAATCTGTCATCTATAATTGAGGTATAATACAAGATATAGAATGTGATATGCATTATATATTATACAATATATCATATATGCACTATATATTTTATACTATTAATAAATAATAATAATAGTAATCATAATAATAATAGTAATAATTTTATCCTATTATTACCTGCTAATATAGTCAATAAATATTGACTATAAAGGTAATAATCTTATTCAAAATTTGGTTTAGGTTACCTATATACAACATATTACCTTTACATTGTACATGTGTGTCTACATATGCACACATCCCTGGGATATATTTCAGCTGTATGTACATATCATGACAAAAACTCTAACATTACATTGCTAACTGTAATACTGTGTGCAAATACATGCAGTATGCTTTTCTTTAAAATGTATATAAGAAAATCATATAAATCATATCAGCAATGTATGGATTATATATAACATGATATAATGAACATGTAATATTTGGCACATTTATGATGTGCATCATGGAGTATTCAGTGCACTGTATAGATACAATAGCAGTATTTCAGACCAGGACTGACATGTATGTATAGTGGATATGCCAGGTGTGCACACCTACACCCTGTCCTCCACAGCACACAAATCCTGGCTGCAGAGCTGACAAAACCTCCTGTCAGACCAGAGTGTTTCATTACATCAACATTGGTAATGTATCAGTAATTATGTATAATGCATAGATGATATTATATACTGTAGATAATATATTTAATATGCATTGTCTAAGTGGCAATATATAACAGACATATATTAGTATCTATTGTATAATATAATATAATATAATATATAATTAATATGCATTGATATAATACATGTAATATATTATTACATTTATATATATTGTAATATATTATTACATGTAATATATTATTATATTACCTACATATTACCTATTATTATTACCTATTACATTACCTGTGTTATTACCTACATATTCTGAAGTTCACTTATATAAACCATCTATATTGAATATACTACTATAAAAGGAAAATATTTTTTACATTTATTTTATCACAGAATCCTAGAATAGTTTAGGTTGGAAAGGCATAATAAAGCTCATCTAGTTCTACCCTTACCATGGGCAGGGACACCTTCCACTATCCCAGGTTGCTCCAAGCCCCATCCAACCTGGCCTTGGACACTTCCAAGGATCCAGGAGCAAATGCAAAATATAATTTATTCTATAATAAATTCTGATTTTCTTTTGTGTGTGTGTGTAACTAAACCAAAACCTCCCAGCTCAGACACCCCCAACTGTATATAATTTTCCTCACATTTATCATTGAACTGGTAATTCACTATAGGTAATTGAACTGGTAATTCACTATAGGTAATTTCCCTCTAAAAAACTGTACAAATGAGCCAATAAAAACCATGGTCCCATACCCTGAGAAAGCAGAACCTGTTTTAACCTGCAGCTGAGCCATGCTCCTTTGCTCTGGTTAAATCCTCCCTGTCACTCACCTTCCCCATTCCCTGAGGAAGGCTGAAAAGCCTCAGCAGAGCGCTACAGCACAAGAGCCAGGCAGGAACAGGCTGGGCTGTGCATGCCCTCGCCTTCAGAGCTGCGAGGGGGCTTTATTAGAGCTTAAAAACAGTGCTTCTTTTTTAAGAGGAACAGGTGGTTTAACTGGGCCTGGCTGCTGCAAATAATGTCCCAATTACCGTGTCAGGAGGCTGCGCTCCTAGGAGGGCTCCTGTGCCGGTGTGGGGCTCCTGCTGCTGCCACTGTGCCCATCTTTGCCCAGCTTCAGTCCCTGGCTGCCTGCTGAGGAGAAAACAGCATGGTCACAACAGCACTGGGAGCAGCCCAGTGGATCCAAGGTAAGAACCTTGGTAAGAACCAAGCCTGGCAGTGTCCGGGGTGGAGCTGGTGCCACAGGACAGCCCACGCTTGGCATGTCCCATCTCCATGATTAATGTTGCCAGAGGCAGACCTTTGTTATGTGGACTGTAAATGACATTTTATTTAAACCATTTATAGCCCTAATGAGGCTTCTTACTTGCATGGAAGGATCTGAGGTGTTTAATGCCATTTGCAAGGATGCACCTGCAAACCCAGATCCTTCACCAAGGGAAGATGCCTGGATGCTTCAGGGAACTGCTGACCCACCCAGCCTAAAACACCACAACCCAGCACTCCTGACCTGGGAGCAATGGGGCAGGAGGTGTGTTGGCACCAGCACCCCACAGCACCCTGTAGCACCCTGCAGGCATGCTACACCCCAGAGAAACACCTGTGACTCCATGAGCCATTTCCCAGCTCATCAACAGCAATACCTTTTTTTAAAGAGGCTTGTGTTGTTGAGGAAGAGTGAAATCCAAGGCAAAAGCCAATGTTTGTCCTGTTTCCAGACTTACCCCAATCCCATGGATAACTCCCAGCTGCCCACCCCAGAAACAGACCAGGAGGTGCTGGGCAGGGCCCCCCAAAACCCTGAACTGTGCCCAGCTGTGTTTCCCAGTGAGTGCATCCAGCAAGGCAGCTGACAGATGCCTTACTGCACTGATGGCTACGAGGGACAGTGGTGTGGGTACCAAAACTTGTAAAAACCTTCCCTGGGGACAAGCATCCTCCAGAGAGTCTTCCCCTATGGGTAGGAGCAAGAGCAGGGCAAGAGCAGCTTGCCCCAGCTCCCCAGCAGCTCTGAGCCCATGGGGCAGGGATGGTGTCCATGCTGTATTTCTCAGAACCCTGCAGGTTCCTCTATCCAATCTCCCAGCTCCTTTCCCTGTGCTCACAGCACTCGGTCCCAGACCACACATTTGGCTCTCAGCGTGCTCAGAGAGGAGGAAGGCTCCAGCACAGCAGGCAAACCCCTCTGCCTGAATGCACAGAGCATGAGCAACCTCTGCACCAGCTGCCTCCACTGCGTCATATTTGGGGCAGGATCAGTGTTTTCCATGGTGCCCAAACCTGTTCCTGCTGGATGCACTGAGAGCCATCAGCAATTGATTTGTTAGCTGACGGCAGGAGGCTTTGTTTGCGCAGCGCTGACTGGCCGTGCTGCCAGGTGGCCGGGACATGGCACCCACCAGGCAACACCTGCATTCCCAGGGTCTGTACTGAGAGCACTCTGGGTTCAGACACACTGCTCAGCCCCTGGGACAGCCACCAAGCCACAGTGGCCTTGGACCTTCACAGACACACAGCAGGAGACAGAGGTCCAGTGCTGGGGGCCTGGGCAGTGGGACAGTGCAAGGCAGGAACTGGTGAGGGGCAAAGACAGATCCATCCCCAAAATACTGTCCAAAGGATACTGGTGTGAGTGGGAGGCTTTGTAACCTGTCATGGCAGTGCAATGCCCTTCACTGCCCGGTGGCATGAGATGCAAAACACAGTGCTGATGGCTCCCTGCAAAACCTCTCGGGCTGGGGCTCACCCTCATCACAAGGAACCTCTCCAGAAACTCCTCAGACAGTCAGGGCTCAGCCTCACAAGGACACAGCAGTGCAGATGAGGGGATAAAGGCTGCAGACACAAAGGCACAGCAGCTCTGTCCAGGTTGCTGCAGATGTCAAAAGCAAATTATGTCCCTTTTACAGGATGTTTGTGAACAGAGCCATTTCCAGCATACTCT